TTGCTGGGTGTGGGTGGATGGTGGAGTCTAGGGCTGACAACATACAGTCTACAACATCATTCACAAAAATAACAGTTTCCTTTGGATTTTTGCTATGCATGTAAAAATAATAAAATATGGCAGAGCAAAAGTGAATCCAAGTAAAGTAAATAGTTTGCAACTTCATACATTAAATATAGCCATCATGTTAAGATACCGCAAAGATATACAGTATATCGAAATAAAAAAATAGAATCCTGGGGCTCTTTAAAAAATAGGTTTAAACTAATCTTCGCTAAACTATCCATGGTAGTTTATGATGAGTCCATATAAAAGTTTTCAAAAACTAAATAAATAAAATAAACACTTTAGAATAAAAAAAAAGCTTAATGCTTCTTGAAAGACCCAAAATATGTCATCATTAATGCGACTTTTCAAAAGGTCCAGTAATATACATATCTCATATGTGAATCTATCTGTCTGTCTGTCTGTCTGTCTTCCCTATCTATCTATCCATCCATCCAACCATCCAATTTCCTCCCGACTACCTCTAAACCAGCATCAAGTAAAACAACATATCAGTGATGCTATAATTCAAAATTCCCTATAACAAACAACAATCTGAAACAATAAAAATTTAACTATAGAAATAATTCCCTCTGGCATTTTAACATCAATGGAATCATGTCATATACAAATCATATAATATTTTATACAAATGTAACTGCACCATAAATAGTTTATTGAATAACTCTCTAGATAATTTCAGATATACCCAATTGAGACATTATAATCATCCCCAGATAAAAAATGCCTTTTGAAAAACATCATGTTGAGAAGCTGTTGTAGGTGCTACTCTTTGAAAATGCATGCCATAAAATGTTAAGTGACTGAAGTGTAATATATTACACTGGGCGTCTTTGTTATGCTTAACACAACTAACCTGAATTAAGTATGAAAAAGAATAATATTATACTATGCTATTAAAAGCCCACAATTCACAGGAATCTATTATTTTTACAGAAAATAATTTTACGGAAAAAGGATAAATAGTCCATCACAGTTGTGCCCCACTCCTACACAAATACACATTTGTTACTTTGTTTCATTACTGAGTGAAAAAAAAAAGTTGCAATATTGTGGTGAAGACATAACCTAAGGAGAACGGATCAGCCAGTAACACTCCTGTTTACACTACAGTTGCATAATGAGAGATTATGCAACTGGAGAGATAGAAAAGGGATGTATTTTTATTGACATCTGTGAAACTGTCCCTCCACCTTTATTTAAATTTCGATATTTACTAAAAAAAAAAAAAAAGAACAAAACAACAAGCTCTAGGACAACTTTCCTTCCTTTTTCCTTGCCTGCTGATTTGCCTTCCTGCATGGAATTATTTCACCAATCACTCTATGAAACACTGATGACAGGATGCATAGTTTCTATACTTACTTGATCAAATTATCTTTCTTAAAAATGCAAATTTCAGCACAAAACTCTTTTCCTTAACTGTATAGTACTTTTTAGCATTGTTATATTACATTTCAAACTCTAGAGAACAATAATTCAATATAGACAACAGCTATCTAGATTAGTTCTTATACATGTCTTCCAATATTTTAAAGGTTTAATATTAAATATTATTTAAATAGTTTTCCAGCAGCAACATATTCTCTTGAGGCCAAAGATAAAAAAACTATTTAATATTGTTGTCTGGACCTAATATGGCATAACAGTAACTACTTTGAAAAACTTTCATTGTAAAAGTTACCATCTATAATACATTTCATACATCATTCAACTTGTGTTTGCATGTGTGTCTAAGAATGTGTAAGTGAGAGACATATAGAAGTGGCATTTGCTAAAATGAGCTGTGTAAAATTATGACTTATCTTATAAAAGCTTTAAAAATGTTTTTCAATAAAAAAAAAATCAAAGCATTTACATTTCAGGGTTTCTTTAAAATATTTTAAAGATATCAATACTATTTCATTTGTGGATATTAACCAAACCATAAATTATTTCTTCTGAGGCATAAATAATTTGCTATTTTTAGCAAAAAAAAATGCATATTTTTCTTTTTTAATTGTAATATCTTCTTATGAATTATGAGTACCTTGTATATGAACAGTCATATTAAAAACAAATTAACCAATGTTTTTGCCCATTAACTATCTACAATATCTACTTATTAATAGTGCCACATTGCTATTGTTTTAATCAGAATGTTCACACATATACATTTTTAAGAACTAATTAAGCTGAGGAAAAGGCTGTCTTGCTTACTTGTTATAAATATTTTATTATACAGTACAGATACTGCTGTGAACAGAAACAGGAAATCTTTCTCTTATTTTCCCATCTGAAACCCCAGGGACTCTGTATACAGATGTATATATACTGTACATATATATACTTGGTGTATGTACCTGGTTATCTACAGTATATGAGAAAAAAGTAATTCTTGAAATAATAATGACATCCTGCTCTGGAGTAGATCAAAGGCTATATGAGTATGTGAAAATATATACAGTGATTGAGTGATATATAACAGGAAAAAAAAATCAACGTTATCATCTTTTCTTTGTAAAATAATAAACTTTAAAAAACATAACCAACTACCACATTAAAACACATTTCAAACTTTTACAAGAATAATGGAGAATAGCAGAAAAATATATTTGGAAACTTTTGGCCAACTTTTGGAACATACTACTAAACCTCTCATAGCAATTTGTGATTTTATATGGACCAAGCAATACTTTACATGAACCAAGCAATATTAGATCAAAGAACCAGTTTGGTATGGTGCTTAAGGTATCAAGCACCATGAGTTCTAGTCCCACCTTAGACATGAAGCCAGCTGGGTGATTTTGAGCCAGTCACTCTCTCTTAGCTCTGGAAAGAAAGTGTTGGGAAATCACTTATGAAACAACTTGGCAAGAAAATGAAGACTCACCTCTCTAGAAAAGGGTCTAATAGTGGAAAAGGTGAATGGAAAGAAAAGAGGACATCCAGCATTAAGGTGAATGGACTCAGTTACAGTTGTAATGATTCCGCCACTTGGAAACCAGAAAATACAGATTGTCATGGAGAAAATCTGTCTACATAGTCATTAAGAGTTGATACCAACTGGATGACATAATCAATCAAGAGAAAATTTCCAGTCATACCTCTTTGCACAGTATAATGGGTTATTTTTTTCTTGTCCTAAGTGAAAAAGAATGACGACTTTTTATTTAACGAAGATCAAGGTTATCAACTTTAGCAGAGGAGGGTTATAAACTTGATAAAAATATGTTTTCATAAGAATAGGGTATAGAATTGACTAGAATAGAATTGAATAGAATTCTTTATTGGCAAAGTGTGATTGGACACACAGGAATTTGTCTTGGTGCATATGCGCTCAGTGTACATAAAAGAAAAGATACATTCATCAAGAATCATAAGGTACAACACTTAATGATAGTCATAGGGAACAAATAAGCAATCAAATCATATTAGGAAACAGTCAATATAAATTGTAAGGATACCAGCAACAAGGTTACAGTCATACAGTCATAAGTGGGAGGAGGTGAGTGATAGGAACGATGAGAAGATTAATAGTAATGCAGACTTAGTAACTAGTTTGACAATGTTGAGGGAATTATTTGTTTAGCAGAGTGATGGCGTTCGGGGAAAAACTGTTCTTGTGTCTAGTTGATCTGGTGTGCAGTGCTCTATAGAGTCGTTTTGAGGGTAGGAGTTGAAACAGTTTATGTCCAGGATGCGAGGGGTCTGTAAATATTTTCACAGCCCTTTTTGACTCGTGCAATATACAATGGAAGGCAGGTTGGTAGCAACTGTTTTTTCTGCAGTTCTAATTATCCTCTGAAGTCTGTGTCTGTCTTGTTGGGTTGCAGAACCAAACCAGACAGTTATAGAGGTGCAGATGACAGACTCAGTAATGTTGTATAATGTTAAATTACGATCTTGGAAACTGAGCATCAGTGACATAAAATGTATGGTGTATCTTTTAAGAGGTATAAGATGGAAACATAGTTTTTTAATTTTTATATTTTTGTTCAAATTTATGTATCTTCCCATCTCACCAGAAGTGTCAGGACAGCATACAAGAATTAAATAATTATACAAATATAGACAATAATTACTAATTTTTTTAAAAAAAAATCATTAAAATTAGAATAAACAAACCACAAACACAAAGGAGTATAGCAACTACACATTAACCACAAGGGGGAGTCCCCTTAAAATGTTCCTGTGATCTTCCTGATAACATAATCATAGTTTGAGGGTCTTCCTGAAGCTTAATAGGGATAGAGCTAACCTAACGTCAGGTGGAATATGAACCATAAAGCAGATACCACAGCACAAAAAGTCTGGGATCCATCAATGTAGGTCCCTCACAGATGGAACCGATAGTATGTTCTCTCTGCCAGAACTAATGAGACGGGCTGATGTAATCTCTGAGTCCCTCAGAGAATAGCAATAGCAATAGCACTTAAGACTTATATACCACTTCATAGTGCTTTACAGAACTCTCTAAGTCAGGGCTATCAAACTCCTGGCCCAAGGGCCATATGTGTCATGCGCTGGCCACACCCATGCCCGGTTTAGTGAAGGGGAAAAAAGTCCTGATACGTCATGTGACGCTGCCATGACGACATGAGTTTGACACCCCTGCTCTAAGTGATTTACAGAGTCAGCATATTGCCCCCAACAATCTGGGTCCTCATTTTATCAACCTCGGAAGGATGCAAGGCTGAGTCAACCTTGAGCAAGTCAGGATCAAACTCCTGGTATTGAGCAGTTAGTCTGCAATAATGCATTCTAACCACTGCGCCACCATGGCTCAGATAACTTGGTCCCGTGCCGTAAAAGTTAAAACCACCATCTTGAATTGGACCTGGAAACAAACTGTTCTACCCAATGACTCCTAATTTCCTTGTTTAGATGAAACATTGTATGCATTGATGTCAAAAAAGCACAACTACATATTTATTTATTTTGCATAATTATAGAGATCCAGAATGGCATAGTGATTACGATGCTGGAATGAATGGTAAGACCCTGGTTTTTGTTTTTCCTTATTAAATCAGGTAAGTGACCATATGAGAGAGAGGCACTCTCTCAATACTCATGTATATCAGTTTTACAACAAGGTAGTTGATTAAAAAAATGTCTTTTTTGGTGTAAACCATGAGATGCTTAAGATACAGGAAAACATATTTGATACAATAGATTCTAATACTTCTCAACAAGGGCAGAATCAGGCTGATCACTAGATTTTAGTGCATATGGTTATGTACATTTTACTTACTGGAAAAGAAGAAATGAAGAAGTGACCAGGAAGGGAAGAGAAGGGGGAAGTAATAGGAGGAGGAAAAAAAAATCCTAGAAGGTGATGATAAAAAATTTCTAATACTTTTGCTAAGAAAAGTACATGGATATGTCCATGTCATCAGCAGGTGTGATGGCAAGTGATCTTGCCTTTTTATCATAAACATTATAAGTGAATTTTGCATGACAATTGCTTTTATTTTTTTCAGAACTCCTGCTGGCTTGTTCATATTACCAGCATAGAAATCAATTTGATTTGCTTTTGAATTGCTGATGTTTCTAACCAATTGGAATATTATTACTGTAAGGAAACTCAGTAAGAGAATAAGGAAAACAGAATAGTTGACAAAACAAACTGTATGATTTTCTTAAGAGTTGGAAAATGATAACATTTTGGTCACCTAGAGGCCCGAAGCTGGTTTTATTTCATTTTCTGCTATTATCAACCAATTATCAAATTGATATGGCCTTTGTCAAGTTGCAAGAGCCTCAAGCTGAATATTAAATTAGGAAGTAAAAGGCTGAAATTAAAAATCTCTAGAGAAATTAGAAAATTGCCTCAAGGATAGAGGGTACTATGTAACTGCTTAAAAGAAATTTAAAAAATGTTATCAGGGATCAGGAAAAAATAAAAAAATGGAAGAAAGTAGAAATATCTAATTTCATAGCATGCTAAATTGCTACGATGGCAGAAAGACAGTTTCTCATTCTCTTCGCAATTCTACTTTTACTTTTTCAGCAGAGTCCAACATTTATTCTATATTTAAAAACCACTTATCTTCAACTAAAGACAATTGTAGCACAACTATATCATTGCCGAGAATTAAACTGCTTTGAAAGGGAGGCAGTAGCAGCAGGAAAATCACACACCTATTTTGCGACAATCAATTTCTAGAAATGTAACTAGATATGTGGATTTATCTACTATTTGCCATTATACTGTCAATCTAAAAATGCAATAAAAGTCATCTTCATTTTTTTCTTTTACTGCTTTAAACTGCTAAGTAATTTATATATGTCTTTTTGAAATCACACTTCCTTTAGTTAGGTTAGTCATAAAAATATATATTTTAAGTACAATCTGATTTCTAATTAATAACAGCTAAATTTTAGGTAATTTCATGATGGAAATGCTGCCACACTGACAAAAATATAGGCATTTTTAAAAAAAAAAATGTTAACAGCAGACTGCTATGCATCCAAATTGTAAAACTGTTTTTTTTTTCATTAAAAGGTTTTTTTATTTTATAAACAAACAAAAAAACAATACATAATCAATCACTATATCTTCTGAATACATATTTTAAGTCTTCTTTTTGCTCCTCCAATATTTATCCTATCTTAATAGTCATTCCCTTTATTATAACATTTCCCCCATTTTTCTTACTTCTCTATTAATACCTTAATCTATCTTTTAATTATATTAAAAATTAGACAACCATTTTATCCCCCACACAACCTTCAACCCCCCCCTCCCCACCCCCGATTTCCCAGAGCAAAAACAGGGTATAGCATTAAACTAAACATAAGCTAAAATATACTAACTTGCTATATGATTCAAAACTCCCTCACCCTCTTTAACTCCTCTTTTAAAAATTGTTCATCAGCCTCCCCTTTTAAAATTATAATTTAAACATTTTAAAACTTTCTTTAAGCATATCTCTTTAAGAAAAAGAAAAAAAAGAAAATATTATTTTGCATCCATTCAATTTTAAATTAACCATTTTAGTACTTCATTAAGTTCTTTTTTTTCTTTTTTCTTTCTCTCAAAAAACTTCAATAAAATATTCTTCAGAATATAACCTTAAAGATACTATTAATCCATTGAGTTTAGTTATTTCTAACTCTTAAATTCATTCTTCAAAATATCAATTTCAAAACTTTCAGAAAACTATCCATTAACTTTAAAGTTAATCATTTTAATACCACAGTCATTTTTTTAAAAAGCTATCCATTTTTAAACATTTTTACTTAAACTTAAAAAAAGTGCTAATTTCAATAGACTTTTCAAATTTATTATTAAGATCCTCCCCAAAAGAAATTAATCTTAATTCTTCCTTTCTTTCTATATTTTTTCCAATCCTTCTTCTTCAATAATACTTTCTCCTTCAACATTGCTCCTCCCCCTGCTTTTATTTTCAAAAAATTTTGAATGTAGATTTGAGACTGATGCATCTTTGAAAATCGCTCTCTCCTTAAAGTTATCTCCTCCATTTTGAAACCTCCATTTCTACTCTTCCTCTTATATTCAATTCAATTTTATTTATTGATTAGCCCTTTGGGCCATATCAAGTGCAGAATTACAAAGACAAATCATTACAAAGGTTTGGTAAAACAAATTAAGTAAGATTGGAATAACTCGCAATTAAAATACAATTAGAATAAAATACGATCTAAAATAAAATCGGGATAAAATACAATAATTTAAAGTACCATTTAAATATAATTAAATTTATATTGTAATGTCGCCCCTGTATCTACCCAATCAGTGTTAACTGCTCTTAAAATTACATTGTTAGATCAAGTGATCATTCTTACAATCTATCGCATTTTGCTGCACCAACTTTGTCCTCCTTCCCATCAACTTTACCACAAATTTAGCAATCCATTTTACCAACTGCAAGTTGGAACCTAACAAACAATATTGCAAAAAGTGCTCTTTAGACTTAGGGGTGCTGGTATAAAAGATCCTGCCCAGTTGATGTTCCCTCAGGTCTGAATATAGGGGGCAATCAAAAATTACGTGGGACGTTGTTTCGACTTCCCCTGTCCCACATAGACAGACCCTTTCCCTTACAGGAATACCCTTATATCTACCCCAGAGCATATTTGTTCCAAGTTGGTCCAACCTCAGTTTTGTAAAGAATCTTCTCAGGACGGGAAACAAAGGCACAGCTAAATATTTTTCTATTTTGAAGATTTGTTTATTGGCTGATAACCAGGGGCAAACATTTACTGCTGTCACCTGTGCAATATCCGATTGGGCACTTATGTCCTTAAATCTCTGTGCAATCCAATTTCGGATCTGCCTATAGTCATACTGCTGCCAATTTAAAGGGATACCAGAGCTAGATACCTGCTTCAGAACTCTTGATAACCAGTTATTTTTATTACTTGAGATAATCTGCTCCATTAGCGCTAATTTTGGTAACCTCCCTTCCTCCATCTCGATTATTCTCAACCAATAATAAACAGTCTTCAACAAGGCCCTAGTGCCAGTCGCATGGACTCCTGTTTCTGCCCTTACTACACATGCTGGGGTTCCGGGGGACACTGCCAAAATTCTCCTAAGGAACTTATTTTGAGGGGTTTCCAGCCCATGCAGCTTAACTGACCCCCATATTTCTGCCCCATAGGTAAGTACTGGTTCGATTTTCGCCTGGAAGACCTTTAGCACTGGGATTAATGAAGATGGAGTTTTCTCTAAAATAAGTTTGTTTAATTGAGCCATCCGAGCCATGGCCTTCCGAGCTCCGGCTTTTACCTGCTTATTCCATTTGCCATTTGTCTGAAATACTAGCCCTAGATAGGTAAATGACTGAACTTGTTTTATTCTTCTGTCATTTAAAACCCATCTCCTTATATTTTGTTGCCTGCTAAATATCATTACCTTTGATTTCTCTATATTAATTGTCAGGCGATTTTTTATACAATATGCTGCCAACCTCCCAAGTGACCTTCGTAGCCCCACCTGTGAGGCCGACAACAAAATTATATCATCGGCATATAACAAGCAATTGACCTGTCTTGTTCCTATACTAGGCCCATGGAGTGATGTATCTTCCAGACATTTTGGGAGGTCATTTAAATATAAGTTAAAAAGTGTTGGGGCTAAAATGCAACCTTGTCTGATGCCCTTTTTTAATGGGATTGCATTTGTTACCGATCCTGACCTATTCACTCGAACTCTTACTTGGGTTTCCGTGTATAACAGTCGAATTAAATATAACAATTTCTTTTCTATTCCCATAGCCTCTAATTTATCCCATAAAATTTTTCTATCAATTGTATCAAAGGCTGCCTTCAAATCTATGAATGCCACATACAGAGGTTTTTTCCAAGACTTAAACTTTGTTATTAGATGGTCCAGCACAAAACAATTATCCATAATAGATCTTCCGCTCCTGAAACCTGACTGCTCTTCAGCTAAGATGTTATTTCTCATTATCCAGTCCTCTAATTTATGAAGCAAGTGCTTAGCACAAATTTTTGCTGAAATATCGATTAGACTAATTAATCGAAAATTATCAGGATTATCTCTAGAACCTTTTTTATGTAAGGGGATAATTATTGATGAACGCCAACTGGCAGGAATTTGCCCTGTTCTATTGATAAAAGTAAAGAGACCCGCCAAGACAGGCGCCCACCAGGCTGTGTTGTCTTTAAATAAGGATGCCGGGAGCGCATCCTGTCCTGGAGCTTTGTTTATCTTCAGGGAGGAGATTAAACGCCTCACCTCCGTGACTGACACTTCTTCCCACTGTGGTAAGGCTTCATATTCCTGTATCAAGCTCGGAGAGGATATAAGCTCATCAGAGTTTTCTACTGCTGCTGGCGTGGCCAAATGCTTCTCCCATCTTTCTGCACTAATGTTTGGGTCACTTATTGGTTTTCTATCTCTAATAATTTTTGAGACCTCCAACCAGAATAGTGTGGGGGAAGCCAGCTTTGCTGCCTGTTCTAGACCAGCCCATAGGTTGTCGATATAGGAGGCCTTTTTTC